CCTTACTATCTGGTTTCAGTCTGAGAGGCACTAAGGTGAGAGAGTGATGCAGCAGATATGTGAACATAAGAACATAAGAGAAGCCAATGCTGGATCAGGCCAATGGCCCATCCAGTCCAACACTCTGTCACACAGTGGCCAAAAAGATCAGGTGTCTGATAAGAGTTTTGATCTATTCAGAACAGTTAGCAGATGTTCCTGCCAAATAGGATCATAATAATTGGTGATATTTCAATAAAGAGTTGAGCACGGTGGCATGAGAATAGCTATGATGTCATCATGATTCCTAATTGGTTAGTGTGTCGTTTCAGTAAGTTCCCAATGTACAAGCATCTGTGAGAGGGAAGTAGTATATCCAGAGGAAAAAGCTATAGAACAGTGGATGCTTTTAGTTAATTTTTGAAACAAAATTAATCCTTGGGAGAATGCTAGAAGAGAAAGTGTTTGTGTCAGTCTGTTATTGTGTCATTGTAGACGCAGGGCTGCGTTCCACAGTCACTTGGGACACCTGCAACCCCCTTGTGGGAGGCCTTAGTAAGCTGGGCCAGGGTTGACTATCCATATTCCCTATTCAACAGAAGTGATCACATAAAGGTGTTGGTAGCTTGCTAATCAGGCTGTATTTAAGGTACTTCCAGCCAAAGTTGTTAGGGTAGTTGCACTGCACCCTTTCCCCGGCTGCTGTCTATTCAGCCCTGTCTTCCACATCAGCTATCCCACATCCACACCTTGTGCATCTCTGTTGCCGTGTCCTATGCCACCCTACTCCTCTACATGTCATGGGTCAGCCAGGGCTCAGCGATAGTGAGGTCTCCACAGAGGAACAGGAGTCATGTGTAGCCAGCCTGGAGCTGACAGAAGCTGACCAGCAGGAAAATGAGCTGCAGACATGCCAGGACTTAAAGCCAACAGTTGGTGCAGAAGTACCTCCACTCTCCAGCCCCGATTCAGCAGATAAAAGTCAGTCGGCCACTCCCAGCCTTCTGGGATCACCTGCACCTTTGGAACACCGCAGATGAAGGCTCGGAGCTGAGTTACAGGTTAGACGATGAAGTGCATGCCCCCTGGCTCAAAGCCAGCTGCCTGCTTATAATGAAGATAAGTCTTCGCAGGACTGTTTCTGAGCAGCAGGCTGTAGGTATGACACTTGGATGTATGGCTGTAAAGTCTTCCAAGGGAGGCTTTTTGGGCATGGATACAACACATACTTTAGAGGCTGAATCGCCAACACTACCTAATTGACCTCAGACCAAACCACATTGCTTTGATTGAAACCTGAAACCTTGACCTTGGACTGCAGGACACTGGACTTTGGAAACCTCTTCTGGCTTTCAGAAGCAGAACAATATGCTGTACCCTGATACCCAAAGCCTGTAAGTCAGTACACTACTTGTCTGCTCTTAAATCCTTCCCTAGCTTAGGACTCACAGCTGTGGAGTCAACCTGGAGTCCCCACCTTCCCAGCGCTCCTCCAACCTAGGGGGCACCCTCCCCGGACAGCACAGCACCTGCTCCTATAACCAGCCTCTCCCCAGCTGATGCCTTTCTGGCCAGACCCTGGCTGCTGGACAAGTCAGCCTTTGGTGCCCTCCACTGCCTCTTAAATGGCCCCTGTCCCTTATCTACCTCTCCGTGCCACAGTCTCATACTATTATTGTAGAACTTGGGTTTTGTTATTGTTATTTCCTAATACAATATAAATGTCAAAGAGCCTTAGCTCTAGGGGCAGTCATATCCAAACATTATCCTCCAGGATTTATATGCACATAAAGGGGATGGAGTGTGTGGTCTGGTTACTATTATTGATGCGAAAGTAGGCCCTGGCTTGAATACTTAGATCACAAATTGCCAATAACATTCTTGAGCAATTACAAAACAATTGATTTTTAATCAAGCACTGGAAATAGTTTGAACTTGTATTACAAATGTGTTCTGTGTGCACACTGTTGCTTTCCTGTGGCTGTCCCACTCCCCTGACCTCCCAACAGGAAAAACTATTAAATTATCCCAGAAAGGGTGATCTGTTTGATTTGTCTAATATCCCAGCCTTCCTCATTTTGCCTGTCTAGCTCCCCAAGCTGAATGTGCTCAGGTGTTCTGAACCGATTCACAACACAGTGCATGTTTCTTTTGCTGCCACCCAGCTGTATTTTGAACTGTGTTTTGACCCAATAAGTTCTGAGCATGCACCAACATGATGAATGCCACCAAATGATGAATGCTGACAAATGCACATGTGCAAAAGTAGCATGTGCATTCAAAATTTAGCTGATTGTAATGAATGCATAATCCAGGGACATTCTTAATCACAGGACGCTGTCAGCATGTGTCAACAATGGCTACCCAGCCACCTGCAGTCAGATGCAAAACCACTGAAAATGCTGCTCATTCAGAAATGTGAACTAATCATCAATGTGAACACATGGGGTGCGCAACTCATGAGAACAGCCATTATGAGCAGAGTAGGATGAGTCTGATGTTCCTATTAATTTTATTGTATTTTATTATGTACTGATGTATATTACCTGTTGTATGCCACCTTGAGTCCTGTTTGTGGAAAATGGAGTGGGATAGAAATTAAATAAACTAAAAAGCCTCCTTTTACTGAGGCTCTGTACTGTATTTAACCCTGCCCACACATAAGCATATACATCCTTCTACTTTCATTAGCATCAAAGGAACTAATTGTCCTAAATCCAAATAACCCAGTATGATTGGATTCTCTGATTTGACTGCTTTGTGGACCTGTTGTTGCCTTCCCTGAAGACTGCATCCAGAGCTAAGCATGAATAACAAACAACGCAGGATCTATGCCAAAGGCCTTATGAAACAAATCTCACCTTTTCAACCTGTATACTATACTTCTGATTTCACCTATAATTTTTTTCCTACTCATACATATGTCAATAGCTTAACTAGAGCTGTTCTCTACTGTTCTCAGTACCATGTGACTTCATAAAGAAAAGCAGGCCTTGGAGCAGAGGCAAAACCAGAGGCATCTGGGATTAAAAGAAAAGGTTTTCAAATCAGGGGTAAAGGTACAGGTTCCCTTGCTCGAAAGCCAGTCAAATCTGACTCTAGGGTTGCGGTGCTCATTTCCGTTTCAAAGCCGAAGAGCCAGCGCTGTCCGAAGACGTTTCCGTGGTCATGTGGCCAGCATGACTAAACACCAAGGCGCACGGAACACTGTTATCTTCCCACCAAAGTGGTACCTATTTATCTACTTGCAATTTCTTGCTTTCGAACTGCTAGGTTGGCAGGAGCTGGAACTAGAGACGGGAGCTCACTCCGTCATGCGGCACCCGGGTCTCGAACTGCTGAACTACCGACCTTTCACAGCCTGCAGTTCAGCGTCTTAACCACTTGAGCCACCGCAGCTCCGAAATCAGGGGTACTTTCTTGTAAACAGGCATGCATTTAAAAACTCAACAGTGGGAATGTGCAACCTTTCAGTGCGATAAAGAAATACTATCTTAAAGCATGTTTTCAAATAAAGCCTCTCCACTTTGTTCACTAAACACTGCCTGATCCAACACCAGCTTCTTTACAAAGTTGCTGCATGGCCTGCAGTACTGGGCAGAGCCTGACGCATTCTGCTATTTCAGCACTCTTTATCTCTTTGCTCTCCCTCATCCAAAGCAGGAAACGATCTGGAGATGGTCATGCCTAGTTCTCTTCTGCCCTCTTGTGGCGTTATCCACTCACTTACAAAAAAATCCAACAACAATAATAAATGTCCCAAATGAACCCTTGTAAGACAAATAATGTAATGCCTTACGGGAGACTGACTGCTTCACTGAGATAGGGCATTTTGTACATAAGAACACAAGAGAAGCCAATGTTGGATCAGGCCAATGGCCCATCCAGTCCAACACTCTGTCACACAGTGGCCAAAAATACCAGGTGCCATTAGTGGGGCCAGGACTCTATCAAATGGAAAACCGAAATGTCATTACCTTGGGAAAAGATGACCCCATTGTATAGGGTGGGGGTAGGCTGATGTTCCCATTCAAGAGCACCCATCGTAAACTAGTGTTTTGCAGCTCTGTTTCTTACATATTTTGAGTATTGTGTCTAGTAACTTTATGGTAGAAGAAACGATCAGAGATTGATTGTCACAGACATCTTCCAAACCTCAGCCTTTTCATGCAAAATGCTGTCAGATTTGTAAAAAGTTTTAATTAGATTTATCTTTTGTGCATCTCGGTATTTCTAAAAACATTTACATCCCACTATTTCTGTTCAAAGCAGCTTACAAAGTGAATTAAAATGCAAAATCATCACTATTAATTATACTAAATGACCCAAAATAATCTGAATTTAACAATAAAAGAATCGAGACACTACTGTGGCAATTCGGAGGCCATGATGTGAGGACTGTCGAGGATTTGGGTAAAGCTCCAAGATGAGGCTCCAGAATCACTGCCCCCTGCTGGAGCCACTCCAATGCCAAGCAACGGCAGCCCTCCCCTATGCGAGGCAGGTGGGAACAGCTGCTACTGCAAGCCAGCAGCCTGAGCCCCAGATGGGCAGGTGTGAGCAGCTACGGCAGGCAGGCAGGTGGAACTACCATAGCAGTTGGGGGGACAAACAACCGCTGCAACAAGCAGGTGGGAGCAGCCACTGCAAGCTGGAGGCCCCAGCCCCACAGGAGTCTCCTTTCCCCTTCCATTGGGAAAAGGAGGCTGTGCGCGTGCCTTCCAAGGCCGGTGGAGGTGGGCAGCTTCAAGGCAGGGGCTGGCAGCAATCAACTGTAGGATGGAATATGCAAGAATACTTCATCTGGTCAGACCAACTTTGCACAAGAAATGGCAAAGGCAGTTTCGATAATTTAATTCAATAATAAGATACTGTATTCATTCTCCAGAAAAGCAAGATAATCACATGTCCAGTTTATTGGATTTGGGAAAGTTACTTGATGACATCATAAATCAAGTTCCTGTTCTCATTCTAGAGCATAGGTTTCTAGAGCATAGGTTTCTAGAGGATAATTTTCCATTCAATGCATGCCTGTGTTTTGGCTCAGCAGTGATCTATTGGAATCTTTCAAAATTCCTAGGATTCTCTGGGGAAACCAGATTTCTTATTCTGACTCTTCTCTTTTAGACAAATGAAAATACTAACGCTCCTATTCAACAGAAAAGATTATTTTGCTAGGGAACTCTGGAGTGTGCCAAAGAGTATCAGCCCCAGTGCATTTATAAGTAACTATCATGAGGGAAAATGCTTTTTAATCTGATGTAGAACATTCTCGAAAACCTCCTCTCTGGAACGACTGGCATCAACTAGTTGACATGAAGGATTCTCCATCCTTCTGTAAGATTCTTCAACTCTATTAAAAAAAAGAGTAAGTAATGTTACCAATGGAATCTCTTTGGAGTAGAAATCAGCAGCCACATTTGAACGGATTTTAATGAGGGTAGATTAGATTGCAATCAATACACTGATTTAATTTAGTTTTAGATTTATATTCTGCTTTTTGATCTATAAACTGATGTGCAACTTTCATGAAATACAAACATTCAGTTCTAACTCTTTTCAGTTTTCAAAACTAAAACCATAAAAAATGGATACATGAGGAAGGAGGACTCTGGGAAGGGTGAAGAGGGAAATATGTTGAAAAACATGACTGTAAAGCTATGGTTAGAACATAGGAGCTGTCATGCTGGATCAGACCAATGGCCCATTTCGTCCAGTATCATGATTCCAAGTAGTCACTGGGAAGCCCACAAGCAGGGCTTACAGCTCTCACCTACTAACTGCTCTCCATCACCCAAAAATCCTGGGAGACCCCATTCAGCTATCATGGCCAATAGCCAGTGGATGACCTATCCTCCATAAGTCTATCCAGCCCCCTTTTAAATCCACATAAGCCTGTGGCCATCACCGAATTATGTGGCACTGAGTTTCCACACATTAACTATCTGCTGTGTGACTTTGTCTGTCTTGAACGTACTGCTGCCAACCAGTTTTGTAGGGTGAGCCCTTTTGGTAATTCTTTGAAGGTTGGTGTTTGTCCAAACAGCCACCATAAGACATTCAGTGACCTGACTGAGAACGCTTAGGACATCCATCAAAATATACTACCTTCAAAAAATAGATTATTTAGCATGGCCCTAAGCTGCATTCACACGTAGTTTGATATTACACTATCACTGTGTTGTAGCAATCATTTGTAATTGGATGTTCCTGTGTGAACAAGCCAGATCCTGTTGCTAATGACTGGTATAGTGCAATATTCAGTGATGTGTGGATGCTGCCTTAGACTCAACTTAATAAGCGTTTCCACCTCCTTCTTGCTCCTTCTCACCATGGAGAAAAAGAAACATCTGATCCAGGATGTTATAGTTATTTGTTTTCAGTATCACTTGATGATGAGACCAAGCATTCTGCTCCTGAATTGCACAATGAGATTGGTATGAGGACAGGATGAGAAAAGTGGTACATTGGTTGTAGAACTATTACCTGAATGTATGGATTTCTAGAATTGTGTTTATACATCCTAATTATCAAAGCCTTGAAGCAAGAGATCAAGGTGCCCCCTGCACTGGTACACAATCCTGATTGTTCTAGAAAAACTTCAGTAACATACAGTGCAATCCTAGGCAGATGTACTCCAGTCTAAACCCACTGATTTCAATAGACTTAGAAGGGTGTGGCTTTGCTTAGGACGTCACTGTGAGATACTTCTCAAGCAAAGATATCATCCTGGTAAGGAATGTTTAAATGACCCAAAGTGTCGTCTTTCTAGTTTTCACCAGCTTCCCTCTATGCTAATAAAGCCAGTAAAAATGCTTTGGTATAAACTATGGTAAGGCAACTACAAAAATGAAAAAGCCTTGCTATATCTTATTTATTTCATGCCTTTCTGCCGAATAAGGACCCCAAACAGCTTGCATAATTCTCCTCTTCTCCATTTTATTCTCACAACAACCCTGTGAGGTAGAGTAGACTGAGACAGACTGATTGGGGCCAAGGTCACATAGCAAGCTTCCATGGCAGAGAGGGGACTGGAAACTGGGTCTCACAGATCCTAGTCCAGCGCCAAACTGGCTTTCACATGAATGAACCCCTCTTCATTTCCAGGTATCCAGGCTGCCAAAGGTTAGGGCCTTATATGTGGATCGCTGCATGTACACTCTGGGATTGGGCAAATACTTCCCCCTCCATGTCCAAATGTAGCTTATACCGTGAGCTTGTGTGAACCTCTCTTCCCCAGAAACACAGTACACCGTTCCCCTGCAATGTGCAACAATGAGAATGCCGTGCTGTTCTGGCTACCTGGATTGAGGCCACAGAACGCTGTTGTTGTTATACTGCCCTCCTTCTGAAGGGCTCAGGGCGGTGTACACCACAGTTAAAACATACATCATAGTAATCAATTATTAACAAAATAAAACAAAATGCAGTCTGAATTTGATGATGTTCAGTATATATTATTCTCCCTCCGTGGGGGGCGGATCATGGGCCAGACATGATAGAGGTTGTTGCTGTCCTCAACCATAAGCCCAGTGGAAACAGCTCTGTCTTATGTGTCATGTGGAACGGTACTAGGTGCTGCAGGGCATGGATGTCACCAGGTAGAGAGGTCCACCAGGCAGGTTGAGGACAGCCACAGATCTTTTGGGCCAGAGATCACCAGTGGGTTCTGATCTTCTGAGTGTAAAGCTCTTTGGGGGACATACCAGGAGATGCAGTCTCACAGGTACGTTGGTCCCAAACCATTTAGGGCCTTGAAGGTTAGAACTAAAACCTTGAAGAGGATGCGGTGCTCAACCTGGAGGCAATGCAGTTGGTGAAGCACCGGTTGGATATGTGCTGTCATAGGGATACCTGTAAGTACATGCGCCACTGCGTTCTGGACCCGTTGTTAATTTCTGGGGCAGCTTCAAGGGCAGCTCTGTGTAGACCAAGTTACAGTAATCCAGCCTCGAGGTGACTGTTGCATAGATTGCTGTGGTTAGGTCAGGGCGAGAGAGGAAGGGGGCCAGTTGCCTGACCTGACAACGTTTTCAATCTGGGACACCATAGATAGAGAGACATCCAGAAGCACGCCCAAGCTCCTGACGCTTGGTGCCAGTATCAGCGGCATTCTGTCAAGAGCTGGAATTTGGCACTCCAGCCTAGAATCAACCCACCCCCAGCACAGGACTTCCATCTTCAGTGGATTCAGTCTCAGCTGGCTCTGTTTCAACCATCCAACCATGGCCTCCAGTCCCTCAGCCAGATGAGATGGGGCGGCATCCAGCTGACTGTTGATCAACAGATACACCTGGGTGTCATCACTGTACTGCTGACAACCAAGGTTTCCTCTAGGGTGTGCCAGCCTGTGCTAGTGTACTGATTCCCCCCCACACACACACACACAGAGCTTTTTAGCTCAGCAATCCAAGGACTCCTGGGTTGGCCTCACCTCCTCTCAGCTGGAGTCTGCAGGCCCTATAAAGGGGGTGTGGGCACCCACACCAGCAGTCCTCGCCCCCACCACCCAAGAGGTTGGTCTGAGTTCACGAGCTGCCTGGCCCACACCACCGTCACCCTCCTCTTCCCCAAGCTGAGTGTGTGTGTTTTTGAGCAGGGGAAGGAGGTGGGAGGCTGCAGGTGCCCTCCTTCTCCCCTCAACAACACAGCCCGGCAGCCCTCATGGCCCTGCCGTGGCCAGTACTGTTGGGGGAGGCAGGTGGTGTGTGTGTGTGTGTGTGTATGAGAGCCGGAAGGTGGGGGTGAGAGGCCGTGGGCGCCCTCCTTCTCCCACTTGACAATGCAGTCTGGTAGCCCTCGTGGGCCTGCCATGGCCAGCACTGTCAGGGGAAGCAGGAGGGGTGTGTGTATGCAAGACGGCGGTGGGAGGCCATGGGCACACTCCCCCTCGGAAACGTGGTCCAGCGTTCCTCATGGGCCTGCCATGGCCAGCGCTGTTGGGGGAGGCGGTCAGTGTTTGTGTGTGCGACCCAGGGTGGGGAGCTCACAGGTGCCCTCCTTCTCCCCTTCAGCAATGCTGCCCAGCAACCCTCGTGGGCCTGCCACGGTCAGCACTGTTGGGGGAGGTGGTCTGTGTGTGCGAACCAGGGATGGGGCCCAGCAGTGTTGACATGGGGTGTGTGTCTGAACAACTTGTCGTTTCTGCATTTGAATTGGACTGGCATATTTTGTGTCCTCTGTCTCAACTTGATTGCTGCACTGCTAGCAGCCTTGAGTCAGAGGGAATAAGGAGAGAAAGAAATGACTTTCTTTGTTTGGGGCCCAGGAAGTCTCCCTGTATCTTTTGGCTACTGTTTAGGAAATAAGGGCATAACCTTCACAAAATAAAATCTTTATGTGATATATGTTAAGTGGTAACCTTGTTTCTATTCTCCAGCGATGTTAAGTTTGGGATTTTTGAGGGGGGGAAATACTTGCATGTGTCAAAACGTAATTTTTTGTTGTATATTTAAGTTCCGTTATACTAATGTGTAGATTTTGGTTAAAATCAATTAGAAACAAAATGAGGTAACTTCCTGCTAATAATTATTTTTGGAAAATCTGAATGTATATTCCATGTGGTTCTAGTGAGGATAAAATGGAAGAGGAGAAAATGTGGTAAGCAGTCTCCCTTGGGGAGAAAAGCAGTGTACAAATAGTGAATGAACTGAGCAGTAGCCTTCTAAAAACTGAAGGAAGAGAATTTTTGCAGGAAATTCAACTGTTTTAAAAAACTTCTTCCATTACTTACATGCAAGCTATAAATATGCCAGTCTTTCTGTCTGCAGAGGGTTAGAATTAAGTGTATACTAGTAATGTTCCTGTTGTGTCCGTGCGCCGCCACTAGGGGTCTGCGGCCTCAGTCCTTAGCTTGGTTCCAAACACAATAGGGACCAAGGATCCTAGGCCACCCTGAGTCCTCCAATAGGACCTTGGCGGGAAATTCAAACCCCCCAATGGAACTGTGGGTGGAGTGCCCGGGTGCCCGGGTGGAGTGTATATAGTTGGCACTTGCCAGGCCAGGTGTGTTCTCTTGTTGTAAAGTACAATAAACGTGTCTAGATAGCATGTCGTAGTCTGAGTCTCCATGTGCGAACCCAGTACTTTACAGTTCCCTTACAAATGATAATAGTTTAGATGTTACATTTGTACGTTTGTAAACTGATTTTTTTTTTAATGTCAGCCTACTCACAATTTTAAAGTTAGCGCTATTTTTGGCTCACAGGGTAAAATTTTTGCTCACAATACGGCACACTTTAGAGGGAACACCAGAACCCAGCCCGAAACTCTGCACCAGCTGGGCAACATTTGATGATATCAAAGGGGTTAGAACATACTTTTGACGAAAGAAGCTGTTCACTTCCAGCTCTGCTTCCTCCCGCGTTTTCTCTGCCCCTCAAATGTCAGCCTACTCACAATTTTAAAGTTAGCACTATTTTTGGCTCACAGGGTAAAATTTTTGCTCACAATACGGCACACTTTAGAGGGAACACCAGAACCCAGCCCGAAACTCTGCACCAGCTGGGCAACATTTGATGATATCAAAGGGGTTAGAACATACTTTTGACGAAAGAAGCTGTTCACTTCCAGCTCTGCTTCCTCCCGCGTTTTCTCTGCCCCTCGTCCCTGCAGCCTTCGGATCCGTTCCTCGGGACTAACGGTGAGCAGTATGACCAAATCTGGTTTTAAAAGGTCTTTGGGCCAGCAGTATACTGGGTGATGCAATGGAGGGAGATCGGACACTTTCCCGCTTATTTCCGTGGCAATTGCATAAGCAGCAGTGCTATGAAAATACCTAGCAGATTATACACACCAGTGTAAGATTCATATTCAGAACATGAAAAAGTCTGTACTACAAAACAACAGATTCTGCATATGGAGCATGCCTTGCTGAATGGGAAACTCTGGAGCTCTACAGATCGGTAGATGTGCTTTATACTGATTGTGAAGTTCTGAGTACCATTAATCATACTGGTACCTTCTGCCTAAGGAGCACAAGACAGAAGATGCAGGCAGTATCTTTGTTGCTCACAACAACCCTGTGGGGACACTTTAGGCTGGGTAGTGGTGACTTTCTCAAGACCTAAAGTAAGCTTCATAGTTCAGTGTGAGTTCAAATTCAAGTATGCTCAGTCAAAAGCCAGCATTCTACAAACTCCTGCGGACTGGCCAGAGTTCTTATCAGGGATCAAAGGGCTGAAGGCAGTAAAGGACAGACAGTTGCCATGAACAGCCAGATTTGGAGTAGCAGCATATCCAAGGCAGTTCAGGGTCCCACCTTCTCTCTAATTTGGAATTATAAATATAACCACATCATAAAAGTATTTTACATTTGAGTTCAGCTCTCTGGCTACAGATGGGAGAAAGCAGCACTAACGGAAATCCACAAACAAACGTGTCTTGAAAAGGTACCACCTCTTTACAGGAGTGAAAATAGGTGGTCAAAAGATATTTAAGGCATCTCCCTATACTTCCAAGAAGTGTTCTCAACATTATTTTCAATAGGGTGAAACGAGGAAGGCATTTTTATCTCACAAACCTGTCTATAATCACTGGTGACTTAGTGGATTCTTTTGCAATTTCAGAAGCAACGATGTAGTTGGTCAGAGCATAAAACGCTCTTCGAATGAGTGTTGGTTCATCGTCAAAAGTCTTTCTCCACTGGCTGACGCAAGATGGAGGAGATCTCAAGAGAATGGCATTCAGTGAGTCCTTCAATGACTGAGTTACTGTGGTTTTGCCTATGTTTTATACAGGGAAGAAAAGACATTGATTATTAATGGGAGGAATATTTATCAGGTTGATAAAAATCAGGTATTTTACTCATGAAACAATGTGATATCAGTGTTAACAGTAGAATGGTGGTCTAATTTTGCAGGTACGTCTGTAAGTGCCATCAGATTGCAACCAATTTATGGCTACCCCAGCAAAAGGCTCCCAAAGCAAGTGAGTAGCAGAGGTGGCTTGCCATTGTATTCTACTGCAAAGTCTTTCTTGGTGGTCTCCCTGCCAAGTACCAAGCCTGTTTAGCTTCTGAAATCTAATGAGTTCTGGCTATACCAAGCCAACTTCCCTGCCACCTTCCACTGTTAACGGAGTAGAAATCACCAGCTCAATGTCAATTTTTTTAAAATGAAAAGAACAGTGTATTAGAACAAAAAATAAAATCAAGAGAAGTATATGCACGTAGCTATATCTGTTGTGTGAGTTTGCACTGGGATGGAACTGAAGGACTAACTATACAACACATTGCTTTTGTTTGGGTCCACCCCTGGTCCCGTCAACTAGAGATGTACCAGGAATTCCTTGTTCAAAACTAAATTTCCAGGTACATGGGAGCTTGATTTGGACTCGGTGTGTGGAGAGAGGGGACTTAAGCCTTTTCTCCACCCTATTTCCTTGAAACGAAAAGGCCCATTGGGGTGCTATTTGCTCCACTGGGGAAACCTACATATACTGTCGGGCTACAAATGTGCATGCAATGGTGAAATGTATCTTCATGTAACAGGAACACTGGCACTTTAATAACGATTTATTTGTGGGATTGTGTCTGCCATAGGTCTTACCTGTTGCGTCCAGGCCCTCAATAACTATCACAGGAAAATCTCCCTTTTTTGGAAGGTCAGGGCACTTATCCACAAGATCAAGGACTGCTTTGGCTTCAGGAATTAGAGCCATGCACTGTAATTAAAAAAAAAACAATTAATCCAGAAGCTCCCACTTGCAAACAAGCACCTTAATTAATTAATCAATTTCAGCAAAAAAAACCCTATCCCACCTTTAAACTATTAAAACAGTAAGACCATTTGATGAATGTAGAGAATCAGCACAAAAGACTGGTTGACCTGAGGAGAGTGCATTGGACATTATGATGACGTAAATAAAAACCAGGAAATACAACCCACTTGTGTCTCTTACTTCCCAGGGTTCTCGGGAATGCCTATTTGAGGGGGCTTGACATCCACCCCCAAGCCCTTGCCTAGAAGATGCATATTCCTTGGGTAGGAAAAGATATTCAAGGTCCAATTTGGTCATGGTTCCACAGAAGAACAGTGAACAAAAAGCATAAGATCTCGTTCTTTATCACCACATACACAGGCTGGTGAGAAGTATGAAGCTGCCCTTCGGTCCATTAGCTACCACCCTTGCTCATGTCAATGGCTAACCCTTAGTGGTACAGGGGGAAGAGGAGGTTAAAAGGTTTCAGAGCAATGTATGAAGGACATCATGGTGTAAGCACCCTTCTTTGAACCCTGTATAGGAGAAAACTTCACATCAGTGGCCTGAAAGATCTCCCCACTCACACCCCCACCCCTTTTAACATCCAGATTGATGAAGACTTGGGGGGGGCTGTGTAATTTCGGTGGGGTTCTGGATCTGGACCAAAGTGGCTACCTGCTTTCTCTTTCCTTCTTTGTCAGTACTTCACATCTTCCAGTGCTAAGCACTAGAAAAATGCTCTAGTTATTATTAGGGGGCTTTCTCCTCTGGGTCGTGTGAGTCGGGCGCGGAGAGCGTGCTTACCTCCTCCAAGACCCTGCGGGCAGCCTCACGGGAGCAGAACACGGCGCCGTCCAGGAGGTGAGAAGCGGCCGGGTGGCGGTCGGGCCGCGGGGCCGTCACGACGCGAGCTCTGCCCAGCCGCTCTTTGCCCTCTGCTGCCCCCTTCAGGCGCCACAGGGCACGCCACAGCTGGCCGTCTTCGGCCTCCTGGTAGACGCACAGGTGGGCTGGCGCGGGCAGGTGAAGACGCAGCAGCTCCTCCAAGGAGCGCTCGGTCTCCGGCGCTGCCTGCGCCACCTGGACCAGGAAGCCCTTCTCCGGCGCGGCGGCGGCGTCCGTGGGGCAGTAGGAGAGGAGCGGCAGCACTTGGCAGCCAGCCCCGAAAGGCGCCTGGCTCAGCTTCTGCTGCAGCTGCTTGTGCAGCCTGGCCGCCCGGACCCGCTCTCGGAGGCTTTGTGCGGCATCGATGCAGAAGGAATAGCATCGCCCCGGCCGAGGCAAGAAGCCTCGGGGGCGGACACTGCCGCCTGGGGCCGGGGGCCCGCTGCCACTCCAGCAGGTGAAATAGACAAGCTCGGAGCCGGCTAGTTCGGCTACGAAGCAGCGCTCGGTCAGGACTGGCGCGGCGTGCCTCGACGGGGACAGCGCCATGGATCTCAGCAGCTGGGGTGGCGATAGCGCGACGCGGGGGAGCATTATCGGGGCCAGAGCCGGGGAAGCGCTGGTGGGGGCACGAGCGTCAGAGCCGGGAAACGAAAGTGGTCTGGGGCGGTGTCCTTAATGCCCTGGGCGGGCGAGGCCGCTGATACGGGGCTGCCCATAAAACAAACGGGTGGAGGGAAAGCGAAGCAGATTGCGAAAGGAAGCGTGCCTGTCACCTCGGCGGAGAAACGAAACTGAGCGCGGAACAGTGTTGTGTTACAAGGGGAAAGCTCGAGATCTGTCAGGTGACAATTATCCACAAGTCTTTTTCAAGCCGAATACGAAGGAATGAGAAAGCAGATAACCCTTTACTCGCTTACACAGTAGTTTCTCTTTGGGTACTATAAGGGAACATGGAAAAGTTCTAAAGGGAAGAGGACAGATAGCCCAAGGAAATGATTGAAATGGGGACGGTGTTTATTATGCATATAAATGTCCAAACCTAAAAGCATCCGTTCTTATTCAACTAACATTTCTGGCCACGGTTCACACCTGCGAAAAATTGAAGTGATAAGGAGTGGGCAGAGGCTGGAAGTGGCAAAACAGCTTGAACCACTGAAGACTGCAGCCCTCAGTGTCCATTTGCATAAACACTCCTTGCATACAGAAAACTAGCACAGCAAAAAGAAAGCAGTCGACCACCTTTGCCTGGGATGCTGGTTTTCCACTGGCAAGGCGTTTAGACGGTCAAAGTGGTGCAGTCCCCTTTCACCTCTGCATCCCACCACCTCCCTCACCCTCCTGCTGACTGTACCCCTTCAGGGAGAATGGCCAGGTCTCCCCTGGCCACCGGGAGGGGGGAGAGGGTTGCCGGATCCAGGTTGGGAAACTCCTGGAGAGTTTGGGGATGGAGCCTGGGGAAGACAGGGACCTCAGTGGGGTACCAGGCCACGGAGTTCACCCTCCAAAGCATCCATTTTCTCCAGGAGAACCAATCTGTGTAGTCTGGAGATGAGCTGTAATTCCTGGGGATCCCCAGGTCCCACGTAGAGGCTGGCCTCCAGGCGATCCTACATATTATTATTATTTCTGTTCTGCAGCAATTTTCAGAGTGGAAAGTGCCTTAGGTCCCCCTCTCTCCTTGATGTAATTATATAAACAGGCTCGGAGGCTGGACTTACACAGATAGCCATGGAGGTGTGACAATTAGTGTGCCAGACGGGGATCTGGGAGACCCAGGTTTGAATCCCCACTCTGTCCTGGAAGCCTGCAGGATGACCTTGGGCCAGGCACACAGACTAACCTACCTCACGGGGTTTCCGCGAGGATAAAATGGAGGAGAGGAGAATGATGCAAGCCACTGTGGGTCCCGGTTGGGGAGGTGGTAAATGAAGTACAAATGAAGTAAATTTAAAAAAATTAAAATCCATAGGCAAGAGGATGAGGTGGTAAAATGGACTGTATGTACCACTTTAGACTTGCAGGTGGAGGATCGCGGTCTGGAGTGTCTGTTAAAAGGTCATTTGCAAACAGAAAACCGGCGCACCAAGCAAAGAGGGGGCGTGGACGCTTCCTCACTGCTGTGTCGGTTTACTATTGGCATGGATGTTGGCATCCGTCACCTGCAGCCTGCTGTGGCTCAGTCCATTTACCGCCTCACTCTCCTGGCTTGACTACTTCCGAAAAGGGGGCGGCCTTCGGCATCATAAAGGCCTGCATGGGCGGCCGAGTTTTGGGGAGGGTCGCCTTGCAACCATCGCACACCTTCAGAGCCCGAGCAAAGTTTGCTTCCCAGTAAAGGAAAGCGAAACCGGCCTTTTCCCTCCGCAGCGCCCCCGGTCACATGCGGCCCAAGAGCGCTTGTTTAAAAGCCGGCGAAGGGCTCCCCAGCCCCAGGGAGCAGAGCACACCGCAAGACCGCTCACCATGGCCTCGGTTCCCGGGCAGCTGCTCCGCGTCCTCCTGCGCCTCCTTGGCGCTTTCTGGAGCAGTCTGGCGCCCTTCTGCGCGTGGCGGCGCTGGGGGGCACCGATCCCACGGCGAGTCCCCGAGGCAGGAGTCGTTGCCCGGCCGGTGCCCGTCAGCGTCAACTACCACTTCACCCGCCGCTGCAACTACAAGTGCGGCTTCTGCTTCCACACGGCCAAGACTTCCTTCGTGCTGCCCCTCGCCGCCGCCCAGAGGGGTCTCGGCTTGCTCAAGCAGGCGGGTGAGTGACCCGGCGCCAGAAGCTCGGACCACGGCTGGCGGGGCGGCAGCACACAGAAAGGGGACTTTTTCTGCGAAGGGCGGCGGCGGGGGAAGCGTCGCGTAGAAACAGTGTCGTCGTCCCCCCAGCCCAGGAATGGCTTTGCTAATCGTGCAGGGTGTACGTAAAGGGGATTGGAGTTGAAGACCTAGACTCAAATCGCCCCCCTGACATGATCTGGGTTCAGTCTTTTTCTCAGTTTAACCAACCTCGCGGGGTTGTTGTGAAGATAAAATCGAGGAAGGGAGAACAGTAATGCTGGCACGCATAGGATAAAAATATGATGCGGTAGAAGAGGAAACTACAGGTTACCCCCCTCCCCTTTATATTCTGTAACATTTTCCAGTATAGATTCAGGTGGGTAGCGGTGTTGGTCTGAAGCCACAGAACAAAGTTTGAGTCCAGTGGCACCTTTAGGACCAACAAAGTTTAATTCTGGGTATAAGCCTGCATGCACACAAAAGCTTATACCCAGAATTAAACTTTGTTGGTCCTAAAGGTGCCACTGGACTCAAACTTTGTTCTGTGGCTTCAGACCAACATGGCTATCCACGGGAATTAAACTATTTTGGTCTTAAAGGTGCCACTGGACTCAAACATCGTTCTCCAGTATATGCTGACAACATTCTGTCCCAGAATCATAATACAGAATGTTAGCAAGGTAGCTTTCAAGCTTCATCTCTGAAACACAGTTTTCACTTGTGGTTTTCTTTCTGCTCCATCCTAGGTATGGAGAAGATAAACTTTTCAGGCGGGGAACCATTTCTTCATGAGAGAGGAGAATTTGTGGGGAAGCTGGTCGAGTTTTGTAAACAGGAGCTAAAACTTCCAAGTGTTAGCATTGTGAGCAATGGAAGCATGGTAACAGAAAGGTGGTTCAAACGTTATGGTAAGAGAAAGAATCCTTGGATGCTTTATTTAAAATTTTACAGTCTTTTAATGTATCTTTTGATTGGGAGAAAATCTTAAAAACAAGGTTGATTGAGTATTTTGCATGTCAGTTATTCTCTTCAGAGACAAAAACCTTGACGAAGGATCAGGGGTCATTTCGTAGAAAAAGAGCTAGGGGGACTCATTAGCATAACTCATTAGCATATGCCACACCCCCTGACATCACCGGAAGTGTGTCCTCCGCACAGCCGGCGGCGACCTCCAGCGAGCACCAGCAGGGAGCTCCAGGCCCCGCCCTCCCGCACCTCACCTGGGGGGATGGCGTCCCCCGCGTCCCCCCCAACCCCGCGTCCCCCCCAAATGACCCCTGCGAAGGATATTCCTATATCACTGAAGAATCAGGCTATTAGAATTCTTATCGGTAAAAGGGGGGGGGAGATTGACAGAAGATACATTTGAGAATTGTGGTATAATAATTCTCTGTTGAATGGTTAGGAATTCTTTAAGGCTTGTGGATAGTGGTCACCTGATCTACCTTCAAACAACATTTTTTTCTTCTTGATTTTTCTTCATTTTATTTTTTAAAAGGGTTATTTGTTATTATAAACTTTTATTCCATTTCATTTCGGTTCTGATAATTTTGAATAATCCTAAAAATGTCATGATAGTGGAACATTTTTTTTAAGTATTTCATGTTTTATTAGATGTTGGGTTGAACCAGCACAGGGTTTCCATGGGCAGCATGATTTCTGACCTCAAAGCATGACTTTCTCACTTCCCCTCTCCTGCTGCAGTTTGAAACTCCTGCTAAAATGCTGCTCCTGAGCAGTGGAATTTCAGGCTACAGCAGGAAGGCAGGGTAAAGAAAACGGTTCCTTGAAAACTTTAGTCTTTGTAAAAATCTTTGGTTCAGGCTGCAAGTGTGGCCTAGAGAGTGTTCCCAGAGACGCAGAACAAGTTGACCTTGCTACGTCAGATAAGACACAGTTGTGCCAAAAGAGGTGCCTTGCTCTAATTAATTTCAAGCAATTGAGGTCTATGGACTTCACCTGTGGGAATGAGGGGATGCCTGATCTGCTGTAAAGTTTTGTTTCTTCCCTCTGATCAAGTCATGCCATAGATCATGTGTCCAGCAACAGAGAGTTACATCATCTGTAAGGGTTTTGATTGGCTCAACAGACCTGGAGACAATTTGAGACCCTTGCTCACAAAAACAGTTTGATTTTCCTACTTAGTTGCTTCTTGCCTCTTGCTTGATAGTGACTGTGCAGTTACTGGTCCTTTCCACACTTGGATCTCATCCCTAGTTTTATCAGAGTTCAACTCAGGACACAATACCTTGCATTTATCCCTGGTTATAACAGCCCCCATTTATCCTGAGACAAATGTGGGGCAAAACCGGGGTGTCCTCAATGTAATGTGGAAACAAAAAATACCCCAAGATAATTACAGGGGTGAACTTGCATGTAGTGTAGAATGTAAGTTCAGGGACAGGGTTGAACCAGGATTTAAGGTCTAGTCTAGTGCAAAAAGGACCACTGTGCTCCTGGCAGCCATCTTGATTGCTTGCTCTTGAGGGCCATACAGCTTGCTGGCTCAGGCTAACTCTGGAGAAAGAGAGCTGCTTTCATGCTGAGATCTTCAACTTGAGATAGGCCCCAGTCACACAAACAGGAAAATGCGGGGGGGGGGAGCGTGATCAGACGTCCCGTCGAGGTCCCGTGGTTAGGGGGGAGGTGACGATCAGAGGACAGTCCTGCAGCGCGGCAAAGAAGCGGCCTCTCTAGCAAAAGGCTCCGTGGGTTTAACCCCTTCCAAGGCTGCAGAGGAATGCAAACTGTGTCCTCCGTCTGGTCCCCTCCAGGAGGAGCTTCAGCCGGGCCGCCCTCCCGCCACGCCCCCATGCACCTCCCCCTCTGTGCTTGTGCGCATCCCATGAAGACATGAAGAAAAAAACCTTT